CAGCCAGCATGTTGGCTGGGGAATTCTAGTAATTGAAGTCCACCCATCTTAAAGTTGCTAAGGTTGAGGAACCCTGATATAGGGGACACTATAGATACCTGCCTCTAGAGAGACTGGGGCAATGGAAACTAGAAAACAGCCTTCCCAGTCACAGCCACACATTATGAAACAACTTATCCTTTGAGGGCATCCACCCTTTATCCTTTAAGAAGCAGTTTGAAGATCTTTCTCTTCTATAGGGCTTTTGCAGGGAGGGAGGAGGGGGAGGGTTGTGTTTAAAAGACAGCAACACATTTTCAGGCATTTAAAAAAAATATTTGTAATACTTAGATTTTATGGGTGTTTTTAATATACTGCTGTAAACCTGCTAGAGTTGCTCAAGTAGGCAGAATACAAATAATTGAATTAAATAAATTAATCAAGAGTTTTCCCCAAGTTTTAATCCTATGGTAAATTATCATAACTCTACAACTTTCAGCTCAATCTACCTCAGTTTTTAGGATGTCAAATTTACTGACTAAAAGCTGACATATAAAGCATGAATTACATTTTGAAGCCATGATTAAATAAATCTGGAGTTCTGCTTTTCATTGTGTTGCCTTTCTGTATCCCAGTATTACTTTGAATTGCTCTGAGTGGTATTTTGACCCACAATATCTGTGTGAGGTACACTTTTGCAAGACTTCATTCAATTTATCAAGATGTTATGATGGCCCTCTTTTCTGTTCTCAGTTTTGTAGTATTTGGAATTCATATTTCATTTGTAACAGGGATTAATCATCTCCAAATTCTTGACAATCATTATAAAATTCACTTCCATCTGGTCTAAACTTAATAAAAACTCAAGATAGATTAGATTAAATTAAATTAAATTTTTAATCATCTTTATCAGGTATAGGTGCTATGTAGTGCATCCATATCTTTGAGCATGGAAAAAAGCAACAGCACTACTAAACTGGGACCAAAAATGTTGTTTCAGAAATATCTTCAGAGGCTTTCAAATTCATGCTGCAGTTGATTAGCATCTAGATAATTAGATTTTGGGACCATTCTCTTTGAAAGTAATAAGGAAAGTTGCCTAAAGGCAGAAACTCTGCCTTGTGATATGTGTCATGACCTTATAGCACTGGAACAAGGAGTTACTGAAAGGGCACTGTTGGTTTTCACCTAACTGCTTGGTTA